TCATAATCACTACCGAACCTGCCCTAAACGTGTATGGAACCCAAAAAGCAAATATTGCGTTCATGAAGTTTCAAAACATCGTCCCAACTTATTTATGAAAATTATGACAGAGAAGACCAAAAGCTCCGTTCAACAACTTAATAAACAATATGAATAAATTAAGAAAATCACAGGCAACTACCAATCATAACACAACTGCCAATCTGATATTTAATGTTCAACTGGATCCTTTATGAGCCTAATCAATATCTGGATCCAAATGTTCCATGATTCTTTTTCAACTCTTATCAATCACAACAATTATTTTACAATATACGGATGGGGATAGAAGCAAAACTATCCTCACAGATCTGGAAGAAGGGTTCGGTTCAGTATAAGATATGAATAACAAAATCAGAAGCATGATTTAAGGGGCAAAAAAAAAAAAGAAAAAAATTCAAAGTCGAGAAGGTTAATTGGAATTCAAGAATCCATTAAAGTTGGTGCATTGGAATAAGACCTTTGCGTTCATTTCCCTTTCAAACCTCCAAATGTAATTGAGACCTACCAGCAACTCAGTAATGGCAGCTTCAGCCTTTTCTTGATTTGCAAAATATAGAGTTTGTAGCAAAAGGACATTTGTTTTTGGCACCAAATTTTGCTGTTCAAAGCTCCTTTCATTTTGCCATTTGATCATGTTGTGTGCCAATGGCGACAGCCATCCTAATATCTTGTGCAAGGCTTCTCTCCATTCTGCAGCAAGAACTGGATCGCTGGCTGAAAATCCAACACCTTTCAATCTAGCCCTCAAAGCGAATCGAATACTATTCGGTAACATTGAATAAAGATCATCTCTTGCATCAATTCCAACAAGTTGTGGTGATCTAATCATCTTTTCCATAACAATGATCAAATTTGCATAGTGCAATGCAAGTGCTGCAGCCGCTAAGGTAGTTGAAGGTGGTTTAAGAATCTTGGAGTTTAACTCGAAAAACCCAGGAGTCAAACTTTCATTTTCTTGGAGTTTAGGAGGGTCTTTCATCAATGGACCAGATACAAAGGTGCATGTATTTGGGTTTTCCGAAGGATAGACTGTGGCCGAGGCCGAGAGAATACGAGGAAGTGAAGTTGGATACCCATGCCCCAGCCCGAAAACGAGCTTGATCCTTGCAAGAACTGTGAAAATAGATCTAGCAAGCAACGAGGTAACAGTGTCAAAACTTCGACACCATAAAGACTTTTCCTTTAGATACTTGATTTCTTGTCTTTGCCAGAGAAGTTTCTGTTGCAAATCAATGATCTTCTGATGTTTGATTGCAGCATCATGATCTATAGTATTGTGCAATAATTTCTTCAATCCATTCTCTATAACTACAAGCTCATCCATTTCTTTGTGGAGAGTGGCTGTTGCAGTAACATATCCATCCATTTTCTTGTTCTTGGCCTCCACATCATTCAAACTGAGAAGCCAATTATGAGGATCACGTCCCGTGTTAGCGAATTCATCGAACAAGCGCTCAAACTCCCTAAGATTTGAATCCTCACACCTTTTACTTATCCTGGATACCGATTCCGCAAGCAACTTGAGATTTCCAACTATTTCAGCACACGCCACACCGAGTAAAAACGCATCATCATTTGAAACAATTTTACGAACACCTTCCAGCCATATCGATTCTCTGCGAATTTGCGCTATATTCTTATCCGTAAGAGATTGCCAGAGGTGAAGTAGCTTCAACATAAGACTGGCAATCTCAAATGCCAAAACTCCAACACTAGATTTCTTGATTATGGGCTTATTTGTAACAGGTGGGGTGGCACGTACAGCATCAAAACTATGTGATATTGTTTTTTTCACTTTGATCAACCATGTTTCAAGAACCATGATTTCTATGTATAAGAAATTGTTAGATCGAGAAAGGTTTTGATTTACAAGTGTTTTTGTTGAATTAGGAAAGATGGGTTTGATGAAAAAGAGAAGTGAATCCTCAAGGAGATGAAGTGGAGACAGTATTTATGGAAGATATAATTGAAGAGTGGAAGTGTCGAGAGAAGCATCGTGGGACGTTGAAAAGCTCTACAAATAAACTCATAAGCAAGCACCCAAACAAAAATAAATAAATAAAAAATAAAAATGGGGAGATGCATTTTTACGATATTAATAAACAGAAGGAAATTGTCTTCTTTGTATTGGATTCCACTTGGCAGCAGAATTCCTCTATTTTCGGGACAATAACGGAAGAAAATGATGTTAGTTTTTAATTTTATTACATGTTTATGTTAAAGATTAAAGTCTCAATAAATAATTATATTAATTTTAACTGTTGAAACTTTTAGACAAGACGTTTCAATGCAAATATAAGCATCCAAAGTTCACGTCTCATCTCGTTATCGATTCGGAAAATTATGCACGTTTTAGGATTTTAATTAGAAAAATCGAAACGAACCATGTTTAACATAATTTATAAATAGAATTGAAAATGATTAGAAAAGAAAGATACATCTCATGTAGGGTCTGTTTAGTATTGTATTTGAAAAGTCAAAAACTATTATGAAATTAAGAAGTTATTTTTTGATATAATCTGAATAATTTTTCTTTATCGGGTAAAAGAATTCTTAGGAGGATACAAGAGATATATATAAGTAAAAATAAAAATCCTACCAAACAAGTCCATTATTTATGTAGTGTAGTCTTTCCAATGATGAAGCTTGATGCATATTCATTCATAAAACAGAAGCATCTAATAATTTTTCTGCATGAAATTATTATTCTATTTTGTACATCACTAATTGCAAAAAAGTTGGAACACTTTAACGTGCTATAAACCTCACTTTTTGCTGAAAGTTTCTATAGTGTCAGTTATTTTTGGAGTAAATTTAATGAACCCTCCTCATTGAACTTTAAAATTATTACTACTTATTGAATTTTAATGGGTTATTCAATGCTCACTCGTTTTTGTATATAATTATTCATCCACCACTATTTTAACTATCATCTCTCCAAATAGGCAGAAAATTGCACATAGATAACAGAAAATTTATGTGGCATATTGACGGTGTTAATTATGTCCAAGTCACCAAAAACGCACCAAATAAACACACCTTTACATTATTAACACAAATCAAAATCTTATAATCAAAACCCCCAAACTAGAACACCCAATCCTCTAAACCTAATTAGATGTTCAGCTTCTGAGCAAGTTTCCGCATAAAAATGAGGCCGGCCCGGAGTGGTGGTGCTGTTGTGGCAACGACCAAGTTAATGAGGAAGGGGGGACAGAGCGGTGGGAGGCATTTTTGCTACCGGTTTGGTCAGTGTATTAAGGCCTTTCACCGAAATGGTTCTAGAAAACTAGTTCTTCTTAATCAAGTTTTGCATGTTAGAATGGGTGGAACAACTTATTTGCATTTGGGAATCACCATACCAGCAAGTTTTAAGAAGTTGCTAATTGAGATGCATCAGATTGCAGTGAAGACTTTTCCCCCCCACCATTAAGCTTTGCACTTGAAGCTTCCCAACTAAAATCTAAGCTATGCAGAGGTCAATTCAATTGTAGAGAAAGAAAGATTAGATTAATTGCTTAACTTCAGTTGTATTACCAATCAGACAATAAAAACTTCACAACAAATGGAGAATTCTTAAACACATTTGAGGGTCTTATGGGATCATCACCCAATAGTGCATCTTCCATACAATTATTGTATTTCATTTAAGGATCTTGTGGCTTATCTAAGTCTTCCATTATCCAGAGAAGAGAAGAATGTCTAAACCTTACTATAAGGAGGTTGACTTCAGGAGAAATTTGGATTTGGAAGAGTAGGATTCAGAAGAGAAATTAGAAGAGGGATGTCGTGAAATGTTGAAAGCAGGAGAATTAATTTGGATATGAAGTTGTGGTTCATTCCAGGTTGGCAACATTTAACCAAAATTATTTCTGTAAAATTACGTGTACATTTTTGTCTATTTGAAGAGATGGGAGTAAACAAAGTGTTGGATGGATAACTATATATAAAGATAAGTAAGTATTGAGTAACTCGTTAAAATTCAGTGAGTAAGTAGTAACAATTTTAGAGTTCAATGAGAATTCATTAAGTTTACTCGTTATTTTTGGAAACGCATGTATTAGCACAATTTTGATTCCATCATGTAAATATTTTATTACACTTACTGAAAATAAAAAATCTATAAAAATTTGCAATATTAATATAACTATATTTAAATGACCTAAATTTCAAATCGCCATCAATTTCAAGTAAAATCAATTTCCACAATGATCAACTCCCACCTTAGAGGATAAGACTATAAAAAATCTATCTACATGACCACTGTGTAAATTGACTAAGCTTGCGATTTTACCAATTATTCTCACGGGCACATGCAAAGAATTTTTGAAGTATCATTACTTCAAATCTGACGTCACCATTATCTGAAAAGTCCCTCGATAAATTGAAATGATCGTGTATCGTTTTCAAGTTATGAATAAAAAGAGCAAAATAAGTATTTGTGTAAAAAATTGTAGATTAAATAAGTAAATTGTGCATCATTTGCACACATTCTTGTCCTCATGACGGAGGCTAATTCTTGAGTTTGACTTTGCTAATCAATAGCGGCTACCTTCCATCATGCATGTATGCGGTGTGCCTGTTAACTGTAGTTTGACCAAATGATGACTTGTTAAATTTTAATACATGGTTTCCTCAATTTTAAACAAAAATATTAATTATTATATAATTGACAAGTGACAAAATATACAGCTGAAAGTGTTCCAATGTGGCGTATTTAATTCACTGAATTAATGGATCCATGCAGAGAGAATAATATTATTTGCAGTTGTTCACTATCACAGTTATGCTACGTGACATATATGTGACGGTTAGTATTTGATGCATAAAATAATAAGAAATTATCAAATTAGTAATCGCTACGTGTATGTCATGTAGAACGACTACAACAGAGAGCAACTACAAATAGCATTACTCACTTGAAAATTGTGTGCTTGATATTCGATTTGTCAATAATTTAGATTTATTTTGTTATTTGTTTTTCTAGATCTAGTTAAGTCAAATTCTAAGTCGAATGAGTAAATGTTGTAGTAAGATATTAGTTCGACTAGAGTGCCATTTTATTGGGAGTTGAAACTAATGCAATAAAGGGTTCTTATATTAAAATAAAGAACATGGTCGATTTTCTTTTTCTTTTATTTTTTAGTTTTAAATCATATGAAATGACATTAATAGATAATTCTAATATTAGTTATATTATGTTGGGTAGTATAGATTTTAAATAGTCACAAAAAGATCCTAAATACATCATAGCCATTTCTCGTTAATTCTACTCTTTATTATCGAATATTCAACTGATTTAAAAAATTAAATGATGTGCAATTAGTTTCTCATGTTTGGAAGTGTTTAAATTAAAATTGAAGTGATCATAAAATTCAAATCGTACAAATACGTAAATAATGAATGAAAAGTAGTAATAAGTTGTATGAAAGAGTATGCTTGAGCAACTTAAATATAATTAAAATTTTTAAATATGCACATAGAAACAGCTATTTTATCAAAATAGAACTCAATTAATGACTTCTATCTTATTTTTTTTAAATGTTTGACTGAATTGAATCATGTTTACCTCCAAGTACGGAACAAGTGTAAGATCAAACGTTTTACGAGGCAAATGTAAGATCAAGTTAAGAAATATATAAGTAAAAGGGTAATTGGCACAAAACGTGCCTACCTTTTAAGTATATTGTGGAAAATATCCCTACCTTTCATTTTTTGGCACAAAACATCCATACCTTCCACTTTCTTGGAGTTGACCGTCATTTTCATCAATTTTTGACGATTTTACCCTCCATTCAAATAAAATAAAAAGAAAAGAAAGGAAAAAAAACAAAAAACTAATTGGAACCACATTCCCAAAATTTCTAAAAATTGTAAATGGTAACTTGATAATTTTCATATTAAATAAATTGAAAAAAAAATCAAAAAATTAAAAAAATAATGGTTGAAGGGTTTTGCATGATAAGAAAAAGATAGTATTGCTACTTGGGTTTTGCCTTCCATTTGAAGGACATTCAACACGATCCTTGCTTACTTTGTCGGTAAAGAGATGGGCAGATTTTCTGCACTTTCATGCATTCGATTAAAAAAAAAAAAAAAACAATTGCCCAAATTCCCCTCTTAAGAGAAAAAGAAAAATACAGCTGCACCTCCTTTTTTAACTTATTTTACAATCTGATTTTTCAATATCATAGCACTTATTCAATAGTTTCCATTAGCCTGACAATCAGTGGCAGATGTAGACATTTGAAATTAGTAGGACATGATCAAACTTATTAAAAAAATTATGTATACTAAATGAACACATACATGTGATCATTGCCATAGATTCACAAATCTCATATATATGATAAATAACAATATTTAAAGAATTTTAAATAATCTCACATATATGATGAATAACAATTTTCAAAGAATTAAAAAAAAAACAAATGACAAAATAATTTCAACTTTCACTCTCTCAATTGTTCGGTCATCGCTTTAACTCTATTCTACTAAAAAAGCCCAACTATCGTTACTATCCAAATCTGATTTTTGGCTCTAAAAACAATTAAAAAAAAAATCTTGAAAGTTGACCCACCAGGACCATGAGTAGGTTCGCCAGTGCTGAAAACCGTCACTTATAATCCTCGTAGATATGTTCGCACACCTACTGAGTTGACCCACAAGGAAGGTCTACAAGGTTAGAATCGTATGGGTTTGAAGATTTCTCATGATAATGATCTATTTTTCTGTAAGATAAAGCTAGATGTAATAATACGTTTTACAAAAAGGCTACAAAAATTCAAAAATGAGATGACGTTTCGGCGAAAGGAGAATCAGAAAACTGTTGGTTGGAAAAAAATATTGAATAAATTCAATAAATTACTTATATTTTTGTCTTAATTTTCGAGCTCATTATGAAATATCAAACGAAATTGAAATATTACATTCTTAATATCAGTTTGAAATACTCACGACCTAGTAATTCATTTGGCTAATGGTGCGCAAAATGGTCAAATGTAGCAAAGTAAGCCGTTCCAAATTAGTATTTTGAGAATTTCGATAACAAGCTAACTTTAAAATTTTTTCGACAATTGTACGCTAATTAAATCCATAAATCCTCTATATCCACTCGAAACTCATTTTGAGAATTATATTATAGACATATCGAA